GTAGGAACACGAGAGGGGGGGTTTCATGATCCGAATCTGCTGAAATTCGTGTTTTCTCTGTGTGTCCGATCGCGTTTGAACGCAGATTTCTTAAAGGACCAGGCTTGAAAGAATGATCATTTATCTGACATTTAGAAAATAACCCTATTATGTGCGATAATCACTTAATGGACCGAGCCGCTCGACTAAATTTAGTTAGTGTCTGGTCAGGCGTCTGCAATAGGTCTAAATGTTGATGTGTTCCACCAACTGAGCTCCCACTTTGTCCTGACAGCAGGGAGCATGCTTTTGTAACCGTTTTTCTGTCTTATCCTCCGTGGATCGGCCTTCTTTTGCTCCCTCTTCTGACCAACCTTTCCTGTAATCTGAGCTTTTGCTGTTTTTTGTTGCTGTTTTTTTTGGTCTTCTGCGAAATCAGAGCCACAAGATGAGACGTCACGTCATGAAAAATCATGGTTTAACGTAATATCTTTTTCTATTTCGAACTCTTAGCAGTGTCACAGCTGGTATAGCAAACTGTTGAGACCTCTAATCCACCGGGGACGGCTTTTGTTTTGTCCCAGACGTTTCGTTTGGTGGTTCTGATTCGCCTTTTGTCTCCTTCTTGTTTCCTCAAACCTGTAACTCTCTGCTTCCTGTTTCCCGAAAAAAGACGGAACACATTCCTCCATATGACGTTGTGCCTTCCATGCGGCCGGTGGTTCTGGTCGGACCGTCGCTGAAGGGCTACGAGGTGACAGACATGATGCAGAAAGCCCTCTTTGACTTTCTCAAACACAGATTCGAAGGAAGGTAAGTTCCGAACGGGTGACCTTTGCGAAACGCGAGATCCCATCTTGTTCCCGCTTCCTTCCCTCATTCCGCTTCCCTCCACGTCCTCCGGCTGGTATTTATGGGTCCCCCGGGGCTAACAGAGGGAGTGTGTAACAAGTTTGTTTGGCCTGACGATGTGTGCTGCTGCTTTAAATAGGCCCTCTACATGTCCTTAATAGGCCATAGTGGGCCCTGGAGCGGAGCCGGGTTCTCCTTAGTCAAAGCCCAGGCCACGAAGTTACACAACACCAAGATCTGCCCGGGACGAATGGAGCAGAAGATGGTCCAGTTTGATTATTTCCACTTTTTCTCCTAGTTAGTTAGTTAGTTTTAGCTCGCTATTCCGCTGTTCGTTATTCGTCCTATGGGGTTAAGATTAGGGTTAGGGTCTTCCTCTTCCAATAACCCCTCAGTCATCACGGCATATCGGCTTCGGTTTAACAATGACATAAGACCTGTTTGACAGTAAAACCTTTGAGGGTTTTCTGCTTCTCACTGGTGTAAGATGGTCGATCAGGAATTGGGACTATCACGAGCGTAACACCAGGACCCGAACGCAGGCAATGGAATAAAATCTGAGTCGTTTAATCCAAAAATGGTTGGTACACGGGCAGGCAAATGATCAGGCTAAGGTACGAAAATGGCAGGCAGAAACGGTGGTCAAGAACAGGCAGGCGAAGGTCAGGAAACAAGGCAAGACGAGACTAGGAAGATGCTTGGAAGACTGGCAAAACGACAAGTACGAACACGCAACGAACAAGAGGCAGACTGGGGAATATAAACACAAGGTAGAGGTGATTGGGAGGAGTCGGGAAATCAACAGAGAGCAAGTGGGAAAGCAACACTGGGACCAGACAGGAAGGACTACAAAACAAAACAGGAAACGTGACAAGACACCCATGACAGGGACTAGTTGAGGTTGACAGTCGTTGAATAGCAGATTAAGGCTCCTATTTACTAAACCAACATCGAGAACTCTGATAGCGAGACGATTGTTTTCTAGTAAAACGAGAATACTTGAAGTGTGCAGACTAATGGGGACTGAATTTTGTTTTCACTGTTCAGGACGTGTACGTCCGGTTAACCGTTTAAAGCCCAATCCAAGAAAATGAAAACAGAAATTATTTTGATCAAATTAGCGTACAATATATCAAAAATATATTTTGGTGTAGTCTTCTACTGGCTGTTATCAGGTATATCTGAATGTGTACAACAGGGGTTTGAGCAAAGCTTTTACCACTGAATGATGCAAAAAGTCTCAGATCCAAAAGACTTCAAAAACCGTATTAAATATGATAGATATGGCATTATAGGGTTAAAGGACATACAGGACCTCTTATTTTTATCTCCTCTAACCAGAAGGAAAGAAACTTTGTGAAATGAGGATTTCTCTAATTAAGAGAAAGTCCTCAGGGATACGTCATAAAAACTGCTTATTCAACAGAAAAATGACAGCCAGCTCATGTGTTCGCTTTGATCTAATAAGCTAATCGGCTCTTTTTTTTTTTTCAGAATATCCATCACCCGGGTAACGGCTGACATCTCTCTGGCCAAGCGCTCGGTCCTGAACAACCCCAGCAAGCACGCCATCATCGAACGCTCCAACACGCGCTCCAACCTGGGTAGGTCCGCCCCCCCCCCCGGGCCCACATCTGGTCTCTCGGTGAAGGGAAGGAAACCATTAAAGCTACACTCCTGAAGGCCGGGACCTCTGTTGTTGGGAGGGAGAGATAGAGATCTGCTCTGATTCGGCCTGAGCTCGATGGGAGTTTAGATCCGATCGCAATGAAAGAGATTCCTGAGTCAAACAGAAGGCGGTGAGGCTAATCCAAGCCGTTTATCGGCCCCAGCTGAGGACCAGCTTCCAGCAGATGTGTTTAGAGCAGTGTTTTTCAACCTTTTTTGAGCCAAGGTACAGTTTTTTATTGAAAAAATCACGAGGCACACCACCAACCAAAAATGTCAAACAAATCTGTAGCCGCCTATAGTAACACTATAGTTATTCTAATCTTATCCTAAGTGTCTTGAATAGGAATCAAATAAACACCAAAATGTATTTTTTATCATATTTTATATTTCTTCTCTCAAATTGCACTTAACATGTCCACTTCAATATACAAAATTATATACAAAATCTAGTCATAAGGAATTATTACCTGATTACGCCACCGGTCACTACTACAGCACAGACACTCAAAAATGGCATATTATTTGCAGAAAATGAACTCCTTATCAAAACATTTTTTTAAACCAATTAGGTGAAATAGGATGATTTTCTACGGCACACCTGACCATCACTCGCGGCACACTAGCGTACCGAAGCACAGTGGTTGAAAAACACTGGTTTAGAGGAAGCAAAACATGCGGTTTTTAGCTGGCGATTTGACCTTTGACCTCTCAGATAAGTGACCCGAAGCGACCCGTCTCATAATCTCCAAACACGCACTTGTTTCCTCCCCTTCGTTCGTTTTTCGTTTTTGACCTGGAGCTCATTTATTTGGAGCGAAAGTGAGTTATTTTTAATCGAATTCCGCGCTGGAAAGCGGGGGCCATTATTGTGCGACACTGGCCCATTTTCCCCGGAAAATTAGGTCCCGGGCGAGCCAAAAGATTCAAAAGTTGTGTTTGGTGACCGTGATGACTCTGGTTTCCTTCTGTTACATTTGTTGGACGGTTTCTGCTGTTCAGTGTGCCAAATATGTTTTAATATTCAGCCTCTGTGGAACTCAAACACCAAATCTATTACGCGTCTCAGTCAGATTTTTCAGACTTTTATGATTAATTGAGTCTAAAAAAAAACACTTTTCCCAAAAGTGCTTGTTCGTATGTGTGATTCGAATGAATTGAGATAAATTCCAATCTTTATTTTCATATAAAGAGCAACAGGATTGTCTACAAATTGCTTTAAGTCTTCAGATGAACATCAAGCTTGTGTACGAAATGCAAAACCGAAATTTAAGTATCATAATCACATTTAATGATTCTTTTGATAGAGATTTTCTTTCTGACTCCTGAGATTTTCTGAAAATTTCACCCCCTCTGTGGAACTCCAACACCAAATCTATTACGCGTCTCAGTCAGATTTTTCAGACTTTTATGATTAATTGAGTCTAAAAAACACTTTTCCCAAAAGTGCTTGTTCGTATGTGTGATTAAAATAAATGTATATAATTTCCAATCCCCTATTTTCATATAAAGAGCAACAGGATTGTCTAGAAATTGCTTTAAGTTTTCAGATGAACATCAAGCTTGTGTACGAAATGCAAAACCGAAATTTA